CCTGGCAGTGTTCAAGGCCAGGCTGGACAGAGCCTTGGGTGAGATGGTTTAGTGTGAGGTGTCCCTGCCCATGGCAGGGGGGTTGGAACTAGATGATCTTGAGGTCCTTTCCAACCCTAACTATTCTATGATTCTATGATTTCTCATTTGATAGGTCCTGTCCCCAGGGTTTCCCTCAGTGTGGAAACACCACTGAAAAAGGTTTCATGGTTGGGACTTGCCATGCTTGGGAGCATCCCTGCTGCACCATGATCTCAAGGGCTGAGTGGGCATGTGATCATCTTACAGGGTCAAAGGGCCATGTCTGCATTGGTGCAGCCAGCACAAATCCTGGCTTGAGCATGGGACAAACTCCCAGCCAAGCTTCTAATTTGAAATCACACAAAGCTGAAAACAGGGCACCAGGGTTGGCAAGCAAGTAGCCTGCAAACCTTGGAGCCACATCAACTCCCATGGGAACAGGGACAGATCCTGTCTTCATATCCCCAGGAACCTGCCTGACTGACTTCTTGATTGCAGGAAGGTATTGAAACAATTTTAGGTATTTCCTGGTGCCATCTATTGGTTACACAATCAGTTCTCAACAACTCATGTTTTCCCAAATGAGCACCTCATGGTTGAAGCACGGTTTGCATGACTCTATTATAAATCATTTTTCATGTGACCTTTAGCGCAGGAAGTTTCCATTCCAGCTATGCTTTACTAAAATTTCAGAAACAGCACCTGGGATTTCAGAGGCACAACAGGGATTTGAGAGTCGGTGAGGTAAATCATTGCTGAGCCCCAGTAATTCCAATTCATGCCAAAAATAGGAGGAGGCCACCATGGCAGGGTGTTTGCAGAGATCTGCAGGCTCCTCTGTCATTAACTCTCTGCTGCCCAGTTTCTGCTCCAAGCTTCCAGGAGCATCTCATGCACGTACATGGCTACCTGGAGGGCACATGCACCACACGTGGTCACTGGAGCAGCTCTAGAGCAGAAGCCACATAACCTGGGGTCACCATGGGGGATGCAGTGCCACCCAAAGCCAAGGCAAGATGACAGGAATGGTGGCACTAGAGACAAATGTTCCCACAGCTGAGCACAGCCAGGAAGGATTACATTTCACTTGAACCCTCCCCAGACAAAAACTCCTGTGAATCATGTCAACAAAATACAATCAAGCATTTCCATTTTGTCAGCAAGATAAATACCTTATGTTTCTGAAAAAAAATACCCAAAACCATACCTTGGCATTTCCCTTCTATAGCGAATTTCAGGATTTAACTTTTCATCCAGTAGAGGAATGAAAGGAAAGGCAGAAGCAGGGGTATTCCCCCTGCTAGAGCTGTGTCAGGCACCAGCAAGCCCTCACACATGCTCATGCTTTCCTGATGCTCCCACTGGCCATGCTTGGCTTCAGAGGGGAGTTGCAGAAGGAGCAGCACGTTTCCTCTGAAAAACAGGAATACATGCCAGAGTGATGCAACAAGGGTATGCTAGTTACAAACAATGGGCACATGCAGAGTAATTCAAGTTTTGACAGCGTTAAAAATAGGCAGCTGCTGCTTTCTTCCTGGCAAACACTGCACAAGCAGCCCAAAGGGATTTATGGTGAGGGGAGAGCAGCTCCTGCCTGTTGGAAGGCATTTGCTAATGCAGGTGGTTCCCCTCTGTCTGCCCCCAGGAGCTCAGGGTCACCTGTCACCCCCAGGTCATCTCAGTGACTGAGATCATGGATGCTGCTTGGAGGCCACAGCATCCCCAGCAGTGTTTTTAAGCAGGCAGAGTTCCTGCTTAAAAACACAGCTGGACTCAGAAAAAGGAAAAAGTAGCTGTGCGTTCTTCCCACTGCAGGCAGCTATTTATAATCGAAACTGGGCAAAGCCACCTCCAAGGGCTATGAAAACATTTCATTTGCACAAACCTGAGGTGCTGTCATTTCTGCCTCTAAGCTTTTGAAAAAGTGGAAGCCTGTACTGAAAAGAGCCAAACTTTAAGAAGAAATCCAGGCTGTGGACCTTTCCCCAAGCAGAGCATTGTCTGAACACCCCAGCTCTCTGCTCTCCCCGACACTTCTGTCTGCACTGGAGAAGCTCTTGGCCCCAGCCCACAGGTGCCACCAGGGCATCTCTTGGCTGTGCAGACCAGTATGGCCAATGGCAGCAATGTGGCATTGCCATCCTCTGTCACAGGCCATCTGCTTTGCATCAGTTTTGCAAGGCCTCAGCACTGGGGCTTGTTGGATGGATTCTGTCTGGGCTTCACTGGCGTGTTCTCACTGTGACAGTGATTTCTGTAGCTGACCAGGTGCTTATGGTGAGTTTTATTTACTTTTGCTTATCTGTGTGTAGCACAACCATAGCTTTACACAGACAGCAGTGACAAGCAGCAGCTCTGTGATGGGAGCATAGCAATAAATTCTTGGGTTTATATATGTCTAAGCGGCAGGAAGGACAAACTCACTCACCTGCAATAACTACATGTTGTGATCTTCTTTTCAGTGCTATGATAGCTGGGTACAAACAGCTGCTATGCATGAAAACTTCTAAAACAGCTGCATGAGAAAGGAAATGTGAGGTGCAAAAGCAGAAATCAGCAGAGAAGAAGTGCATGTGGGAAAGCAGAAACACACCCCTAAGAGGCATATGGAAAAGTGGTCGCTGAAGGGATAGCCACCTGCTCTGAGCACAACTGAAAAGGAACAAAACCCAGGACATGCAGAAATATGGCTCAGAGAAACACAGCAACTCCTCACATATTTCAGCAGCTTCTAGGGCTGGACCTTTAATACTTGGGGGGGGGGGGGGGGGGGGTGTGCAGGATAGTACAGCCTTGAAGCCAGAATGATTTTCTGCTGGATCTGAAATGCTTCCAACAGAAGCCACAATGGGCTTCATGGTTTTGTGGAAAAAAAAACTTCCACAGTAGAAATTCAGGCCAAGAGAGCCCAGGGGAGAAAAAAGGAAAGAGGTATTGCAAAGGTCACAAAAAAAGAGCAAGGCTGGCTAGATCTGGGCATTGGGCAAGACTGGGTTAAGCAGTTAAGAACCCTTACAGGGTCAGGCTCAGTAGCATTCATCACATTAATTGAAGTTTTAAGTTTACAAAGGAATTGCATTCTTCAGAGCAGCCACACTTCTTTCTGAAGTAAACTCACACCCTCTATCCACAGGGATAAGAAGAGAAAAGGTAATCCCTTAGCTGTTAGGAAATCAAGCAAACCCTTCAATGACCTCATCATGATCAGCGAGCATATCTCCTCTGCTGGAGGTCCAGAGCACTTCTACACACATTGGTTGGAGCCCCAGCCTTTGAACCAGTGACACCACACAGTGTTTCCTATACACTCATCCTCCTCTTGCCCTGACTCGGGTGAGGCAGAGCAGGGATCCTTTCAGACTGCTCCATGCTAGGACAAATGCCATTTTGAAAGAACTTTCTCCTTTGTTTTGCTGTCTGAGCTATTTGGCTTGCCTGTGAGCTCCTTCCTCCCCTCAGAAGGCTGAGGCACCATTGTTCTTGATGCCCACTGCAGCAACCCCACGGAGCCTGCCTGTCACCCACATCCTGTTTTTGATTGTGACCACGAACGTCATGTTGTCATCTTGTAGTGACCAAAGCATGCTCTTGCAACGGCTAGAAAATCATCATTTATTTAGTCTTTCTTAAGGCCTGTCTTAATCTTGTCGGATGTCCAGCCTCATTCAGCCTTTCCACACTAAAAGCGAGCATGTATCTCCTGAGATAGGACAACTTTCAAACCAGAAGAAATCCTGCTTTGGATCACAAAGCTGCACTAATTTCCACTGGAGATGCAGTCTAAGAGAGTAGAGTTCATAAAGTGTTTTAAATACCTTTTTTCCTCCCTCTATAAATCAAGGCAGAGGGTGTAGGCTGTGACCAAGGCACCCTGTCAAGCGCCACCTCTGCCACTTCATCCCTATAAACTAGCTGCAATAAACAAAAGAAGACATTAATTCAGGAGCTGGGAGGGGGCGGAAGGCAAAGCAGGCCCCAGTCAGGCTGACACATTTTCATTGGTCTCTGCAGACCAGTCAGCCCATGCTCTCCACGGCAAAGAAAAAGCTCTGGTCTGGCTCTGGTGGTGCCCTGACTTTCACACAGGTGAAGAGTCCATAGCACCAGTGGAGAAAGCTTCAACCCTCTGATCAGACATGCTGGGCTAGGGATATTTTGTCTTTTGACACAAATACATACAACAGTCCCGGGTCCAAATACTGCTTGGCCAGGTATAGAGAGAAGAGTGCTCCTGCTGGAGAGGAGCGAGCCACCATCAGCTACCCGCAGCCACATGCAGAAGTGTGCCGACTCTGTTTGGCTGGAAACATCCCCATGCAGGTGATGGAGAGTGCTCTGCCCTCAGTGCAGTCTGGCACCTGAAGCCAAGCGACTCAACTGGACGTGGGACTGATTTCAAGGTTCCTTTCTAAGTGCTGAAGCCATTTGTTCTCTTTGGAGGCCTCTGACAGCCTTCACCAGATTTTCTGGTTATTCTACCCACAGTTGCTTTCAATCACACATGTCTGCATTTAATTCCACAGTTTGTCCAAGTAGAAGTAATATTTCCTGTTTTTTTCTCTCATTTCAGCTGGTGTTACTGGCAAAGAAATGTAAAACTCTATCTTGAGACAGCAAATCACAGGCAACAAACATGATGTCTAGCAATGAGCTCCAGACCAGCACCTGAAATGCTCCAGCCTGGGCTGACAGGTTGGCTCTGACTCCCTGCAGGTGTCAGACCAAAGCCCACCTCCAGGCCCAGGGGCTGGGGGATGAATGATAGCAGAGGGCTCACAGGCTGAACTGCAGGTGTTTGGTTCAGCAGCACAGACTGAGCATCATTCCCATATGTATAAACCTCATGAGCTGTTCTCCTGATTGCCCTTCAGCTTTCCCGGATACTTGCAGTATTACCAGCTATTTAATCCTTTTAAGAAAAATTACAGACGCCAATACGGATTCTGCTGGCTTAGCAACATTCATTAATTAGAGAACTATTGGGAACAGGTTGTTTTTATTTGGGGTTCATCTCAGAGGGAAACTATTGGATTTAGCCTGAGATTTATGAAAAGATCAGGAAATCCTGCCACAGCAGTACCCAAGTGGTAAATAACTGCATGGTCTGCTGGGTCAAAAGATGAATGACTCATACAAGGTATTTAAATTATATTTAAAATTCTTTAAATTGTATTTGAAAAACATAATCGGGTTGCTTGGGCTAAGCAAACAGCCTATTTCCCTGCTGCCTGAGGGGGAAATAAAATTTTTCTTTTTCTTCACATTTATTCCCTTATTTATTAAATCACTTCATATGAGCTATCAAGTTAATCTTACTGATGAAGTCTCTGCTCCTGAAGAAATGTGAACACCTAGTGACCTTCCTGACAATGCAGTGGAAGCACCAACCCCAGGGCCATCTCCTGCAGCCCCTGGACCTCAGAGGGACCACGTCTCAGGCACAGCCCTCTAAGGAGGTCCCCAGGGTACAACCTGCAACTGTCTCCAGGCGCAGGGCAATCCTACTCATCCCTGCAGGACAATCATCTGCCTTTACTTCTCTCACCTTAAAGAGGTGAGATCAATCTGAGCTATATCGTTACATCATGATAAGTGGACAAGTATGTTCTCAAGTCCAGTAAAATTCCAGCCAGGCAACTAGAACACCATGCCCTCCAGGGGTGCAGGGAGACCCCAGCACTCTGGTGATTCTTGCCAATCTGACACCTTGCAGAAAGCTCTGTTTCCAGCAAGACTGGCACCACAGATCTGCGTTGAGAAGTAGGAAATGAAGAGACCCATCACCCTTTGCTAGATCCCCGCTGCCTATCATCTGCAGCCTCCCACAGCAGTCACTGCCACAGCCCCCTTGCCTCCCTCCCAGATCACACAGACATACTCACCTCACTGCTTTTCCCTGGGGAGTGCTCTCTCCACAGAGCTACCAGCCTGTTGGCACCTCTGCTCAATGCTGCTGGTGCTCCCCACTATGCTCGTTTGACACCAGGGCGTATAAGGGGTGCATTAGTGACTGGTGCCCCCTGCTCCGAACATGTGGAGTTGCTCAAAGCAGCAAGCACATGGACACCACCAGCTCCTCATGCACAGAGCCTGTCCTGTGTGCATTCTCAGCAGCCTCCTTTCTACTTCAGATCCCTGGAGCAAGACAGGTTTGGCAAGAGATGCCAAACCAGCTATTGGCAGAGATTGCAGCTGGTCAAATCACAACCAATAAACCAGTTTATTGCAGGTTTATACAATGGCTGCTAAGAGTGAGAAACTGACAGCAGCCAGCATTTACTTTGTAAATCTATCAGTGCTGTCGGCTCAGCTGAACAGCAGAACCGATCCCTGCTTTGGAGACTGGGAACTGAGTTGTGGAGTTCACCCTTTCATTTTCTTTTTACCATGGGTAAATCTCTGCCCTTCATTTCAAAATGTTGCTGCCCAGGGTCTGTCTCTGTCATATGCTCTGGCCTCCATCCTCTTTCTAAGGGCAGCCTGTCACTGGTTTTAGTAGAAGCACTTGCTTTATTGAAGACCTTTGGAAGACTATGACTTTGGTAACAGGAAATAAATAGCTATCAACCAATTTTGCATTCAATTAAAAACTGTTATTAACACTAAAGTATGCTGAGGAAGTTCTGCAAAGGTTCTTCATGGTTTAGAGTTAGTCATTTTTCAAGTTAATGAAGAGGTCCACAGTTTGATCTGATTAAAAATTAAAATACTTGAAAATCCCAGAGCTTTTTAAATATCATCAGTACTGTTGTCTGGAGGACTGCCATGCAGCACCACCACGCATCACCCACTGCATGCCTCCACTGAGCTGCTGCCCGTGGTCCCAGGCCATGTAGCAGTCCCACGTGCAGAGCCCTGGACATCAAGGATGGACATGCAACGTCAGACTCGACTTTCTTCCTCTTCCACTGCCCGGTGAAGGCCTGGAATGAACTTCAAAATATTCTTTCGGACACTGGGTCTCCTGCTTTTCCTCGGGAGGGTCCCAAAAGTACTGGTGCAGCTGCTGCCCTCCCAGAGGGGAGACATGGACCCGCTGCTGGCCAGGCTGATACTGCGGATCCTCCTCAGTGACGACCTCCCAGGAGCACCATCTCCGTCCTTGGGGAAGAAGCAGTCATCATCCACGCTCGACTGGCGGCTCAGACTCTCTGCAGCTGAATCCTCAAAGGCGCAGCTTTGGTAGAAGCTGTCCTCGCTGTCCACAGTCATCGAGCTCAGCCGGCTGCGGGAGCTGCTCTCACTGGAGAAGCGAGGCTTCACCGGAAAGAGGTGTCCTACCGAGCTGCCGCCACTGAGCAAGCTGGCCTCTTCCAGCTCCAGTGCACCCGGCAGTGCATTGTCATTCACCTCCCCTGAAAGCAGAAGCCAAAGAGGAGCATTATTTACTGATGTCTGCTCAGTGCTGGAGAGCAGGATGCCTGTGCCTTAGTGGTGCAGGGAAATGTCATGCCCAGCATCTCAGTGCAGGGAGCAGCCCCTTTGCCTCGAGGGAAGCTATTTCCCAGCTGTGGGTTGCTCTCTGCCCCTGCCATCCCCCACATGCAGAATCAAAGCCACTCTCTAGACAGCCCATAAAAAACACAAGCAAAAAAACCTTTCCCCTGATAAGTCCAAATAAGAATGGATAAAATATTTACATCCTAGAACTCTTGTGAAAGAGCCTTTGGTCAGCATTAGTCAAGCAACATCCAAATTTATCACTCCCAGAAAAAAGCTTTCCCAGGGGCAGCCCCATGTCTTCATTTGCAGGGGAAAAAGAAAGCAAATGAAAATCAGATTAAAGAATTGCTTTTTACAGATGAGACACTGTTTCCACAGAAGAACTCAGCAGCACTGCGGTTTTCTTCCCGGAAACAAGGACGTACCGTGCAGCAAGCGTTGTTCCTGTAAGAGCAGAGAGCGCAACTCCACCCATTTCTGCTGCAGACTTTGCTGTGGAGAGGAAGAGGGCTCTGTCATTCATACACGTTTGCACAAGCGTAAAGCACTTGTAAAGAAAAGGATTTAGAAAGTACAGGTGCTACAGGCAGCACTTGTATGTCCATTTTTTTACAGAGATAATTTTCCTGGAGTTCAGCAAATTTCCCCACAGTCCACTCATATTCTGGGTGCTCAGTGAGGTGCTGTAAACATCTGATTTGAAAAGAAGCAGCCTGAAATCTGTAGAGCGTACTGCTTGCCTTCAGCCAGCACAGGACAGGCCCTGCAGCCCACCCTCCTCTAGCCCTCCGCAGCTCTGGAACCCACCAGCCGTGAATGGGCACCTTGCTCCTCGTTCCTGTATCCTGCAGCTCAGCATGGGGATGGCACAACTAACCATCCCAACCTTGTGTTAGGGTAACACCACCCTGTGTATGGCCAACCTAATGCCATCCAACACAGCAACATTTTTCTTTCCCTCATTGCAGATCAACTTTTGATGTAAAAACAAATTATTGAATAGTTAAAGAAATTACAACAAATCAACTGATGAGCCTCTGCCTGGAGGCAGTCGCAGAGGTACTTCCCCAATAATCTGCCTGAACCTGCTGCACCTTAGACATTCAGCCAGACAGGCTGCCAAATCACACACTTGTACACCCAAACTAACCAGACCTGCATGGGCAATCCTGTCAGCACAGTCACTTTTTTTCCATCACTTTGGAAAAATCAAACACAATGAAAACCCCAGCGCAGCCGCAGGGTGGTGATGTACTGGGATGCCCTGTGGGCAAGCCTGCAAAACAGGAGCAGTGACCGCTTTTGAGGAGAACTAGTCCAAGGTCTGCTCTTACAATCCCTACACAATGTTGAATACAGTAGGTTTTAGAAGTTTATCATTCAAAGAGACCTAGGAAATTGCATGTAAGAGATGCTTGTGCAACTGCACGTCCAAGCCTGTGGTGATGCCTTGTACTCACAGGCACATTGCCATCTCACTGCGGTTACAGGGGTTGGCAACAACCCGGCACACCCTTCAGTAAGGCACTAGAGACAGTTATAAACAGAATTAGATTCTTTCCACTGCAGCACACCGTTCTAAGAGCGCAGGGTCAGGCTCACACCCTATTTTACTCCGTAGCAACACTTGTTGCAGAGGTTTGGCATTTCTGGGAAACAGATGTTTTGTAAAAGTTCTCTTGAAATACAACCATTCACAGCACGTTTTGAAATTTTGGCTTTATGACTTCCCTGTAAAGGTATGGGGAGGAATGGCCCATTTCTGGTGACTTTACTGGTTACTTCATTCAGATTTACAAGGGACCAGACTTAACGACTTGCCGTGGAGTACTGACCATGGCCAGGTTGGAAGCATCCTGCTGCTGTGTTCTCATTAGCACAGTGATGAGTGCTCTGGCTCTGGGTCCTTTCTTGCCATGTCTGGACTAGCCATCCAGGTGGTCAGTCCCAGCATCTCCAAACACCTCCCAGCTCCAGGGATGTGGTCACACAGAGTTCCACGCAAGGCCAGCATGGCGCCTGCCCTAACACCAGCCTCCCAACACCTCCCACCTCACCAGACACACTGGACATGCAGGGGTTTGTCCCAGCCGCATAGGGAGCACCAGAGCTGCCTCTAAGCTCAGCTCTCCCAGCTGCTCATGCCAGCCAAGACCCCAGAGCCCCCCACCACCCACTGGTCAGTTTTACCTCCTTCAGAGAGAAAATAACAGCTGTCTGCCAGGGAGCAATGCCTAAAAGCATTGTAGCCATTTCCAAAAGCATCCTCCATAGTGCCCATCAGTTTAACAAACCTTGGAGGGGAAACTGAGCTCATTGAGGTCTCACCCTGATCTCCTCACACCTGCCCATCATCTGGGCTGAAGTGATGATGACCAAGATATTGTCTGGACAGCCAGACACTGCCCTCGGCATCCATCAGCCACAGACCAGTGAAGGTTGAGAAGAATCCATCCTTTCCTCACCCCCCAACCCCCACAGCTAACGTTTGCTCATCTGCAGCATCAGTGTCATGCAGCAAATTACAACACCCGGTGCTGTGCTGTTATAAATGCAGTGCAAACCAATTAAATAAACAATTAAATAAACATTGTTTCAAACATGATAAATGCTAAATGTGAAATTGCCCCCATGGCAGGACTTACATTTTATAGACAATGGCACACACGACAAACTGTCCCTGCTGCTCAGCTCTGGCAAGCCTAACCCATTTGGCATGAGGCTTATTCTAGCCAGATTAATTTTTAATGAACTTTTTAAAGTACCATACTCCTGTGGGCAGAGTTTGGCATAGAGTCGCCATAAGGAAAAATCCCCCACTCAGGTCAACCAAGTCCCAACTTTGGAAAGCCCTCGGCCCCTGCACTGCTGTGGCTGCAGTGGGGTGAGCAGAGAGGCATGCTGGGTCACTGGAACCCCAAAACCTATTGTTAGCCTGGCTGTCTCAGACCCAGCTGGGAGAATAGAAGTTCTACAAGTCAGAGGTGCCATCAGCATGCTGTCCCTGAAGAGCCTGGACTCTGCTTGGGAAAGCCTGCCTTCCCTTTCTGCTAAGTACAGAGGATATTAAAATACGCTGTTCTGTTCTTACAGAGGAGGCTTGCCTACCAGCTGGGCACAGAGAGAAATGGAAATATTTAGAGAGCTACAGAAATCATTGTGAGGGAAATTATTACCAAAAAAAATATACAGAAAATACTATAGGGACTGTGGCTTGGGGTGCTGGTGACAGTGGACACATGGGTTTCTGTCCCCTGCCACGACATCTAGCCCCATGGACCTACCTCCATTAGCAGTGAAACACAACAGGCCTCTGCATTCAACAACAGATTAACTAATTAATTACATTACCTTCAGTAGCTGCAGCTTGGTCTCGAGCTCCATCTTCCGCACAAACATGGCCCCATTGACAGTCTCTAACCTGTGAAGAACAGGCAATGTTGGCACTGAAATGGAGAGGAGCATTGAGCGCTTCCAGGCCATGTGCCACAGTGCACTGCAGAGCATGGGGCCACGGAGTGCTCAGGAGGCAGCTGCATGTGGGGACAGGGAGCACCCCACATGCTGAACCCTCTCCTCTGTGGCTGTCTTCAGCCTTCACACGCAACAAGAGTGTGGCTCTGCACAAACAGACTCACAGCCTCTGACACAGCACAGGACTGCAGGGGGGCATGAGAAGCTTTCTTGCCTTCCAGTTGAAGAGTCTTTTAAGCTAAAAAGCATTTGAAGGAGAGATGTTTACCTTAAATAGTTCCCTGAAGACTTTATTAAGTCCACTATCTGCTTGTGACTATAGCCATCAGTGTTCACACCATTGATACTGGCAAGGATATCACCTGTTAGAGATACACAGAAGCCAAAATTAGCACATGCATGCCTTCCACATGCTCTACAACAAAAGTAAGTGGGAGGGAAGCAAGGTAAGGCCACCACAGAAGGAAAACAACATGAATAGTTACCAGTTTGAAGGCCAGAAAGATAGGCAGGACTTTCTTCCTGAATTTTGCAGACACAAGTGCATACCTCCGGGGAGTAATCATTTTGGTTTGGAAATCTTATAGTCTGTTAATACCAAAGTGACAGAGTTACCAATATAAAAAACATGAAAACAATTTAAAAATCAATATTCTTTTTTACACATTTTTAAAATGAGAAGCCTGTGTTGAGCAGGGTGTATTATCATGCAAGTGCAGAGAGCAGAATGTTATAACCTAACAATTAGAAATTGCATTCTTATGATAGAGAACAGCAGACACCTGAAAGATACCCGTAAGGTGACTTTGCAAAAAAAAACAACAAACTTTTAAAGCAAGTTGGTTATTCAATATCAAAACTCAGTAACTTCAGTCAAGAATATCTGTTAGCATGGATGCAGATTGCTTTCTGAAAGGATATTTCATGTTCTCAGCCTCAGCATGGCAGGATGCGACTTCGGTTTTCAAGTGATCGACTCCTACTCATTGTGACTGCTGCATGAAGCCAGCTGGTGCTTCCAGATAGATCTATTCACAATAGGGGAACTGAAAAGCAGGAGAAGTTGAACCTACTTTTGCTCTTTTGGCCTCTTAAACTCATTATCCACATCACCACACCCTCTCAAAAGTGCTTTTTATTATTGACTTATACATTTAAATATACATTAAGTAATCCTAACTATAAATCCATCTTGTGATTATCAGTGCTGACGTATTTAAAAAAATGCAAAACTAGGTGACACAACCTGACCAGATCTTGCAATGACAGGAAATGTCATCTTGGTTACATGCAAATATCAGTATTTAGCCGTATCTTCTTACCAAAATTGAAGAGTGAAGCTGAACTTCCTGAAAACCTGACAGCCACATCTAACCCCAATATAAGAAGTCATGTTAGATTCCCAAATTTCTCAATCAGTGTGGAACAAATAGGAATGAAGGCTGTCTGAGTTCAGAGCTTATCTGGCCAAATTACACCATCACAGTGATATCAGCCCTTGGACCAATAATAAAACTTTTGGATAAATTAAGAACACCAAGTCAAACATGAGTGTCTTGGAGGACGTGCAGCTGCAGGTCACGTTCACCTACCAGCCTGAAAGATTGGGCCAGCTTGAGCGATACGAGGGGACGAGCAGGGTGAGATTCATCACACCTAACTGGAGCTTCTAGGCAGAGGCGTCAGGATGTCCCCACAAGAGCTGGAGAGGTGGGCATCTCTGGGGTGTTACTGATGGCGCCAAAAGAAGCACTCCAGGAGACTGGACTTCCCTTCCACGTACCTTCTCGTCTTGGACTGCAGAAGCTGTCTGGGCTGTGGTTTTGGAGGGCACACCTAGCTTTTAAATGGTTGCAGTGGAGGGGAGAGACCAGCTACCAGAGTGTCTGCTCTGCAAGCACTTTGGGTGTTTTGGGAGCTGCACCCAGGCTCTGATCCACAAGTGGGAAGTAGAAGAAGTGATAACATGCAAGAAATTCTGGCATTTGGCCATCACTGCAGTTCTCATGAGCTCCCTGCAGATGGTAGACCTAAAGTTTCACATCATCTTATTGTGGTTTGCCTAATTTTAACTTGTAGTAATGAAATTACAGCCTCTAAATAATGGGTAATCCTTAGTATCAGACAAATGCTGCCTTTCCATAGCCTGGACTTTCTAGAGAACTGCTCAGGCTGAATGTTCAGGAAGAAAATGTGCCAAGAACAATTATTTTTAATCAGAATGTCACATATAATGAAAATCTGCCCTGACAATTTATACAAAAGCCCACTAATTGACTCAATTATCCTCCCTTCTGAAAGCTCTCCACTGTTCACGAGCTGAACACTTACCCACTCATTAGTCACAGAAACAAATCTGAAAAAGTTCAGCTTTTCCTAATACACTAATTTCACTGAAAATATTGTTTTCTCTTTGCGCACAGATACAGGCAAGCACTCTGAAGATGCCCTGCTGCCACGGTGATTGAAACATGGGGATGACATGGGAGGTTCTCTCAAAACATGCTCCCACCTGCAGGTCCTGCTGGTAGGCAGAGCTCTGTGGCAATGCCACAACCCGCTGCTCCCAAAACTTCATCGTTTTATTCCTGAGGTTATCTTTTATTCATAACCAGGATTTTATCAGGTTTACTGTTCTGAGAGTTACCTTTCTCAAAAATCTACAGAACAAAAATCTCCCATTAGCAGTGCTCCTGATAAGATTATGGTTTTTCCTATGTAATGATTTATTGACTTCTACATCTAACAGAATTCCTTCCTATATGGTTTAGCACTCAAAAACTCATGCTTAGCAGTTATTTATTAAAAAACATATCAATAGTATACATCTACTTTGAAAATATGTATGTCTATATACCTTAAAGGAGGTAGTAAAAAGCTACTAGAAGGTATTTTTCTGAGAGAGAGGTTTTTGGATGTCTCTTTATGTTAAAATAGTCTCATATACAATTCTTCTAAAAATACTCATTTATGGAAGTACGAATTCATTGCCATTGTCTCATATTTGGATTTGGATGAGATTTCTCCTGCATTCAACACTCTGACCTGTGAGCAGGCCAGAAATTTTCATCTGTGACCTTTGCTGTGAAAAAAAAAACAAACCAAACTTGGAAATGCATCCTAGTTCTGTATTACTGCTGTAAGCTCTTCAGAGTTCGTGAGGAACTGGCAGATACCTTTCTCTGCTTTATGCTGTCTTAACCTAATTTTGAGGATGTGACACTTGAGAGCTTGCAGCATATTTTATTTTTAAATGAATCAGCTTATCATTTAAGCCTTACCTGGATTTCAAACCCAAATGCCTCTTTATCTTCTTTCAATATAGCAACAAGGTGTCTGTAAGAAGAATGCACAGAACTCCAAATGAATGCTAGGTTGCCACTTCATGCACTCTGTATTTCCAACCAAAACATCGTTGCCCACCCTTGTGCTAGCAGGGTATCATGACGCCTTTCTTCAGATGTTGCAGTGGTTGTGCTTGCTCTTTCCTTACTCAAACTAAATGTTAACAGTTTGACTTGCACATCCCAGGTGTTGGGTACCACTCTTTGCCCTGTACCCTTATCCCACTAGGGCAGCTAAATAGGAAGATTCCCAAAACACACATTTCATGTGGAATAAGTAAATAACAGTGATTATAGAGGAATATTGTCATACCTTTGTGGCCTGGAGGAGTCATCCAAGGAGCTGGATCTGGCTAAGGCAAGCTGTAATCAGAAATGGGAACAAAAAATGGTCAGTAGGCTCATGGTTCTTTGAGGCACATGGCTAAAATCAGTAGTTTAGAAGAAAACTAAAACTAGCTGCGGGCTTCTCACCCCCAGTTTGTACCAACGCAGCCTCCACCTCAGTGAAATGAGAACTTAAACTTTGAGATAGGGAGTAAAAGCAGCACGGTCCAGGATTCAAGACAGCTTCTCATCATGTTCAAAGCCACCTGTTAGATGCTGATGGCAAGCTCAGCCGGGCACAGCAGAGATCCAACAGCCAACAGCGATGACCTCCGGGTGCACAAACCTTGGAAAAAGGTGCTCCCTCCTGCCCAAGAAGACTTTCTTCACCCTAGCATTCCTTTCCAAGTGAGTTAGAGAACAATTTCAAGCCATAACTGGTCTGATATAAATGCCTATGGAGGATGTTTAACTAACATTGCTGTAAGATGAAGTATCAACTGCAACACATTCTGATGTGAAGGATTGCATTAACTGGCATGAGGAAGATGAAGGAATTCATGGTTTTTTTTATTATGTTGGAAATTAAGCCCTGAAAAACAGGCTATAGCTCAGCTTTTCTTATTTTCCTGAACTTTTTAAATATAAAATTTAGTATTTCCAAAAATAAAGCCAAAACAAAACCAACATGGGTACTCTTAGTAAATCAGAATATTGTTTCAGTTGTTCACCTCCAGAAAACATCTGGGCATCCTCACTGGCAGATGGTAATGCAGTACCTGTTCCAACTTTATTAGAAAACCTCCCACTAGCTACCCAATCTTCCCTGCAATAAGTTAAAATTGACAGCTGCCCTACCACCAGCCAATATAAAACAAAGAAACACAAGGCTTTTCTTGTGCAGTGGTGATAATTTCAGGTTGAATCTGACACCAAAAATGCTTGGAGCAGAAAACTCTTCCCCAGAGTGCTGTAGATGCAATTTCTGAGGATTCCAGAATTGGGGAAGCCAAGAGGTTTAACCACTCAAGAAAACCCCTGCATCCAGCTGGGCATCAGAGATGGACATTCGACTGGTTCTAGCAATGTCAACAATGCTCTTGTCTTATTTTGCACACTTAAAAAACAAACAAACAAAACAATCAGGAAGAAAAATAAAGAAAAAAAAACAACCAACCCAAAACACACTATATAGCAACCCTGTGTTTTCAAATAACAGAAGGAATATTCCTTCTTCACAATTCACCTTGTTATACTGCAGTGCACCACACAGAGTAAGGGGTCAGCCAGCTCCGCAGCATGGCTTGTGGCCACCCTGTGCCATGGGCTGCTCCCTCCTCAGGGTTGCACAGGCACCCTTGCTCTTGGGGAAGGCTGATGGGCACACAGCGCCAGAGCATCTTTCCAACAATGGGAGCCCTGCAAAAAGCTGAAATGGGTGAGGCTCCAAGATTCTGGAAAGCAGGGATTGCCATCATTCCCATTACTGCTATAACTATTATCTCTAAAGTGCCCAAATCATATCTCTATTATACTAAGACCTCAGCTTTCTTTTATACCTTCCCACTAAAAATCTGTGGGCATTTATAAACTTATCGCTTGTCAGAAAAGGTAGAAAGCACACATAAATTAAGATATCTGCAGGCAATTTTCTCTGCAGTTTCTTGTGGCAGTTGCACAGCGTTTCTGAGTCAACTGATGCATGGTCATGGCAACAAGTACCTAGGATCCCTGTTTCAAGCGAGGTAGACCTGTGCTTGAAGAGTTCTCTGGAGAAAGTGAGGATCAGTGTTAAACATTGATTTTTCCCATAAAAATGAAACACAAATAAGGAATTACATTATCCCTGAAATGACTGTAGTCTATACAGCCGCACATCTTGGGCTTCAGCAGTATAAAATGATACCACAGCATGACCACCTATAGAAACATACGTTTACTTGTTGAAAGAAAAGGAGAGGAGGGAGAGACCACGTGTAATATAAACTGCACACCAGGTGAAACAGCTAATGGCAGGCCAGTGAGCATTAGGTACATATGGTCTGTTCAGACCAGTTGTTGGGCCTGATGCCCGTGTTGTAAGTCATCTTTAACAAACACAGCAGTGTCACAGCCATTACTGCCAGCTTCCCCTTGCACCAGCAGCAATCGCTGCACAAAGGGCTGCTCCTTCTCAGCTGTGGGAGCTGTATGCTACCCAGCAGTGGTGTTCCCAAGATTAATCTGGCTCTGGCTTTCTTTTATCTCCTCACACTTGTACAAAGAAAAGGATTGTGTTTCCTTTACTGAACAAAGCCTTAAGTGCACAGATATTATGTACCAGTTTTCTAATAGTACTTCCAGATTGCCATGTGTCTCAAACATTTCCTATTTAGGTTCTTTCATGCTAGACAAATAGACCAAAGATGGAATTGCTCGCCTGGCAATTTAGAGCAACAGCAAGAGAGAGTGTTGTGGAACTCCATTTGCAAACAGCAGAAATATACTGCTCTGGGGGAAAAGCCCAGATGCCAGAGACAGCCCAGCAAGTCCAACAGTTGTAGCAAAATACTCCAAAACCCAGATGGAAATAACTCAGGTGCTTTCTGTCAGCACTGCAGCACAAAGAGCAGTCTAGCCAGGCTGCTATACTGAAGTAAATGAAGTTTAAAGGAAATCCTGGACAGAAAGAGCCTATTTTGACTCACAGTACTGTTGTAAACAGAGAAGAAATACAGCCAGGGCAGATCTCAGCTGCAAAAGCATTACATGCACCCAAGCCCCTGCGAGCAGAACACTTCTTTGCTTGCTCCTCTCAAAAGCTTCCCACACAGCTGATGCTGAAAAGATTTTACTGCAATCCCCAAACCAGCTAGGCTAAAAGCATCTGATGGTGATCCTTCTAGCACCCTGACACCAGGAGCCACAGTGAACCTGAGCAGTCACTTGAGGAAACCGGGACGTTTCTGCTGGTACCTGCAGTCACAGGCAGAAAGCGGCTTTCCAGGCTGGAAGGAGCCACCAGCCTCCAAGTACATAGAAACAACCCCGTACCTGCTTGCGCCCGCGGGGCAGAGTCCCCACTATGTTGGCCAGGAGCTGGATCCTCCTGTTGTCCATTGGCAGAGCCTGCTCCCCCCCAGCAGGGTCAGCACTGAAACCTATGAAGTTGGCGTTATGGTTTTGCTGATTGAGCCACCTCAGAGCCATGTTAGTGGAAGATCATTTAAACCAGCATTGCTAAATGCTGCAGCGTGGCTGAGGAAACTAAAATACACTCACCCCTCCGTGATCAAAAAGTATAAGACCGGAAAGCCAGCCATGTGACTTGTGGTTTAGGTGCATGTTACATAAATCTCTTCTAGCAGATCACCAGGGCACTTGGTATGTGTTGTGCTCATAGAAGAGTTAAGAATTAAGCTTGGCAGTTAAAGAAATCTCCTTAATTTCTCCATTCTTGCGCACAATTCTCACCAAACAGCTTCTTCTCTCTGCAATGATTCATCCTTAAAGCACTACTCGCTTCAGACACTTGCCTGCATTCCAGTTGTTCATTCTCCCACTTGCTCGACGTAGCCTGCATTGCTCAAATTACCTTTGTGAAAGATGGGAAAATAATGCTTTCTTTGGATAATGGTGTTAGTGCATGACTTTCCAGCCACAGAGAGGAAAGCAAGAACTGAAAGTCACAGACTGAGAGCAGGAGCTGAAAACTGCAGAGCAAGAGCAGAGCAATGTCTGCAGCTTGTGTTTTGGTAGGGAGCAATGGCTTACTCAACAAAGCAGTTTTGGGAGCAAACACCAAAGTAAGCACAGGGTCTGAAGAAATGAACATGAGGAGCTACCACAGAAGAGCCATGGACAGGCACAGTGCCAGGGAGAGCCTTGCCTAAATATCATCCTTGCATCTTCCTTGGCTGGCCAGGGCTAGGGGAGGATGATGGGAGCTACAGGAAGGCAGCTGCACTGTGCCTGCCCAGCGCATGCACTGAGGCCATCCGGGCAGGCAGGTGGGGTGGTCACAATTACCAGTGACACCCCAGGGACCCTCTCATGCACACCCCCTTGGCAGGCTATGCCAGCAGCCAGGGAGCTGAGCCGTCCGTCCCCCTGGAGCAGAACGATCCCAACCGGGATCTTGCTCTGGTCTGCACAGGCTAGAGCATGGACTGACACACGTGGCAAGCTGTTGCTCTAAAATCAAGTTTTCTGACAGGGGTTCTTCTCTTCCAAAGGATTTTGTCCCAGCAGCAAACTCATTTAGGAGGTTTTGTCACGCTGAGGATTTTTTGTTGGGTTGTTTTTTCATTCCAGTTATCATCTGACCTGTTGCTCACCAGAGCCTTGTGCCCCTGGCCAGCCAGCATTGCCTGCTGCCAGTGGCCAGGAGCAGCCACTGAGAGAGGCTGGACATCCTGATGGGACTCATCTGAAACACACTGACGTTTTTTGCTGAGTCAGCTGGACAAACACTGAGGACTAACTCTACAAAGGAACCAGAGCTTTTCCACAACTAACCTTAGCTGGCATTTGAACCTTCGCAAGGGAAAAGCATGGCTATTGCTGCCAAAATAGAGAAGTAGTAAAAATGTACAAGTTACATTCCTTTTTCTCAGTAGAGACTTTTTATGCATCTTCATGAAGTATTGCTACACTCAGTAGTAGGAGACCCACCTCCCAGAGAGAGAGGTGCTCCATGGGGAGAGGGCAGTTCAGTTTTGTCTCTGCTAACCTTGTGGAATGCCAGTGCAGCCTGTTGTAAGCTGTCACAACAGATTAATTCAGAGGTGATTCACATGCCTTTTATAGTGCTCTGCCCCTACAAGTAGTGATGGAGGAGGTGCAGGGATGGGTGTCCAGCTGTGACCAAGAGAGCTCACCCACAGAAAAGATAACAGCTTTTATGTAAGGGACCGTGAAAAGCAGAACAAGTTTGTAAAATTAGTATAATTTTAAAAAAGAAACCCGTGTCTTCTCTTATGCTGGAAACAAGTCTGGTTTTGGACTGCAAAGCACTATAGATCACATCACAATCTTGGCAGAAACTCAGAGTAAGTAAAACAATGAACACAGGGGGATGGGACATTCAACTAAAAGGTAAGTAAAATTTAACTCCCATGAGTTATATAACACAGGAGGTTTTTGTTTGCTTTTTTTTGCACAGCTGATTTTAATCATATTTCTGACTCACTAAGTTTATTTTCTTACTACTACTTACCCAGCCCTTACTGCGTCACCTCACTAGGGAGGAGCTGCCTTCCCTCTCGCTCCTTGCACCACTGGTCAGCACACGTCCCATGACGGCACCCACACAGGAGAGCCACCAGCTACTCCTTCCACAGAAGCAGGATCCGCATCTATCCCCACATCCTTCTAGCTGCTCTGCCATGCCCAAAAGGACAGAATGTTTCACACACATTTCAAAGTGCTTGGACTGTTTTCTTGGTAAAGATCTCCCTCACCTTTTTTTTTTTTTTTTTTAATCTTGTGATACCTCATCTTGCCATCAAACAAAATTCCCAGTAATTTTAGAAGCAAAGTGAAATATTCTATAAGAATGATAGCTATGTGCTATTGAAAAATACCGTATCACTTTAGAAATGGTCAGAGCTGGAGATCAGATCTGAAATGACTTGGCAAAGGCACAGAGTCACTCACATCCCCAGCAGAGATGCCTCATCTGTCTGCTCATTGGAGTATGGCACCTTGACCAGTCAGTCCTGCCTTGGCACGACTTGCAAGTCCTGGGGGTTAGAAAAAATAGCACACTCCTCCCTGTGCAGGACGGGGGTGCACGGCCTCCCAGGAAAGCTGAGCTCTGAGCTGAAACCTGTCCCTTGAGACCATCCCACCACCATCCCTGTCCTGGTTTCAGCTGTAACAGTTATTTTTCAATGAGAATTAAAGAACTTGTGCTACATTGCTATCATCTCACAAAAGATTTTAAGGAAAAACAAAATCACAAATTTTCAAGAAAAAGGAATTTTTGCAGAATTGGTTTCCACCAGTCACCACCAGTGATTGCTGAAGACCCTGTCTAGGTGCTGGGGACACCAACTGCTAGCCATCCAAAGCAGCCAAAGAACAGACCTTGATGTCTCCTGCAGCCTGCTAGACTGCCCTTTGCCTCCCTCCTGTGTGGGCTTTTTCAGCTGAATGTGTGCATGTATGCTGGCTTTAGAAGTGGGGTTTTCTGCCAACCCAGAAAGAAAGGCTGCTGGCAGACCAGCACTTCTGCTTCCTGACACCCAACTTGTAGTCTGACGAATGCCAGATAAAACCCCCATTTTGCAGGAGGTATTGGTGATACAGCAGACAGGAAAACAGTATCTTCCTCTTTTGAAGAAATACTGGCAATGCTTTGGGATAAGTAATGAAAAGTGGGTTGGATTTGTTCTTATTCCATAGCAGTCCTGATGCCTTGACACAGATGATTTCTAACTCCCTCAAGCCTTTGCACATGTTTGAGCGTTTATGTGAAGGATGTTGCCTACCTGTGCCTTCCCAGGGATCTTGAGGAGCTTTGTTTCTTTCTTCAGACAAAGGCTGGGTTAACCTGTTTAAAATATGGCCATTGGAACATTTTTATATTTGGCAGGTATCTGCAATTAAAAAAAAAAAAAAAAGAAATATATTCTAAGCCAAGGTCAAATCATTTCAATCTGCGGGTGCTATTGGCATCATTGAAGTTCATGTTTCTCCCTCATGCTCTGCCCTTCTGGTGCTCAGGAAAGCATTTGCTGGAGCAGAGGAACTCCTAATGCCAAGAAAATGTTGTCATGGGGCTTACCCTGCTCCAGGGGATCCGCTCATTACCCTGCATTCCTGAAGTGTTGGTACATTCCCATCTTAAATACTCATCCCTCAAAACCTCAGCATCTTGCAACAGAGGAACACCCTGTCCGAAAATACCTGATCCACATAGCTGGAGGGTTTATGGCTGACATGGATAAGGCCCTGCGGTCCCTGTCCCTCTCCTGACAGACAGACGGGAACAGATGTATGTTGCATGTCACAGCAGCACCCCAGGGATGGTTTGACATATCTGTCCTTTGCCTCTGAGATGAAGAATGAATGTCTGGACAGATCAACGGGGAACCCCTCTGGGTTAAGGGAGCGGCACTGACCCTTCTCACAGTTTATATATCTCACTTGCCTTCACCATGGTACTTGTTCGGGGGATAAAAAAAAGAGTTAAAAAAGTAATGCACAACAGGGAGAAAACTCTCCTTTTTCCTGAGAGCAGGAAGCTGTGCCTCAGGGGTGGCGTCCGCTTACTTGCTAAAGCATGCTGTGTAATGCGGTGATGGTGGTGACTCAAAGCCTCTTCCCCTTTTCCTGCCCACAATGACCCTGCTAAGTGCCTTTGAAAACAAACAAAATGCATTTCAGTTCCTCAGTCAACCCTCGTTTACTTTGCTGAAACCGAGTGACTCATCTCCAGCCAAGCTGAGAGGAGAAACAATCTCCCATCAGAGCAAAACGTGGGACCTTAGAGGCTCTTCAGACAAGTCAGCTCAGTGCTGAACTCCCAATCAAATTATACACAATGACATACAGGTGCCAGGCAGCACTGCCGCTAATGTCAGTCTTGCACATTAGACCTCTCTAACGCGCTGTTACTGTTGACAGATTAGCAATATGGTGCTATGAGCGTACCATCTTTTCACTCCTCAGATCTCCTCCAGTGTGCCCATGGTGCTGATGCATTCTGGGCAGACACAAACTCAGGAAAGGCTGATGAAGAAGGGAAGAGTAGAGAAAACATATTGCCAGGGCTCTCGTTTCCTCCTACCTGTTTCTGTGGCATGAAAGCAGAAAATCCTCATCTTGAATCCTCAGACCCCAGAGAGCTGCTTCTTTGCTCCTCCATGGGGATCTAGTCCTTGGTCAATCCGCACCTCTGCCCCTCCAGTCTCAGAGCTCCCAGGCTCTTTACAGGCATCCCAGTTCCCAGAAGTATTTCCAGCATTGATGTCTGCAGAGGAACTCCCTGTCACACATCAGTGCAGACCCCAGCCTCTCCAGCACCTCCAGGAGCAGCACTGCTCAGTAACGGAGCTTGGGCACTGTAGGCTCTGCTCTTCCCCACCACCCTGCAATAGCTCCAAATCATGCTCTCAGCCCTGGATTCAGGGCACAGAACCCTCCTGAAGGACCACAACCCTGAGATACCTTTGGGATACTTCAAGTAGCTGCTGCTTGATAGCAACATTATCTGTCAAATCAAGCTTCTGCTTTCTCAGTGTTGCTACTTCCATAGGTTGGACTTGGCTTCCCAAGCACATTCAGTT